CTTCTTTTTCAACAGTTCTACTCTAAGCTAGAGGAAAAGATCCATGCGAAGGAAATGGAACAGAATAATTTGCAAGCAAAGACTAAGGTATTGCATGTGTGTATAGTGTATTGGCCTATGCTGTTAGTGCATTTTATTAAAGGCAATAGAGAAGAAAGGTAGAGAATAGAGAGTGAAGAAAGAGTCAAAACTGGTTGTTAGGTTTGGGAAGAAATAGGTAAGAAAGAAGAAAAAAGGTGAGACCCACAAAAATATAATTTCCTCCCATATTGTTATGACTTCTATTTCAAAAAAATATTATTTACTTAATGAGGATACTATTGTCATGGATGGATCAAAATAATACTACATAGTTTTTCTTTTTTCCAATTCCTCTTTTTTCTTTCCTATATCTCTTACCACCAAACAACACTAAAATTACTAATATTCTGCCCTATTTCTTATATTTTTCTCTCTTCTTAATTTCTTATTCTATTGCTCTCATCTTTCTCACTTTTCAATTTCACTCCTATAAACCAAAGAAAACATGAATGAATAAGTAATAGTTCATTGTTAATTGTCAGCAAAATGCATGGATTTACATAGTTTACAGTTTGCTTCACTGCTTGAGTCCTTTTCCTTGTATTTAATACTCCGTACATGTTTATCTCATTTTAAAATTAAGATACAACATAGAATGTTTTCATGATATTCCCTTTTTCTTATTGAAACAGGAATCACAAGAAGCTGAGATCAAAATGTTTAGAAAGTCATTAACATTTAAAGCAACTCCAATGCCAACCTTCTATCAGGAACCTCCACCTCCGAAGGTGGAGCTGAAAAAGGTAACTAATTTTCCCATTCTATATGCGAAAAAAATATTTTTCACTTGCTTGAAAAAATATATTGACACTGTGCGATAAGTTGAGATGATTGTTATAGTTACGCCTTGTTATAAAAATAATATTGTGAAATACTGAAAGTCTGAAATGCGCACCGGGTTACCCTTTATTGTGAAATACTGAAATTAGTATGCATATGATGAAACATGAACGAACACTCAATAATTCTTAAAATGTTTCCCACTAAAAAACTCAATATTTTACAAACTTGATTTTTTTTACGAGAATACTATCATATTATTATTTTTTGGACATGCTTCCTTAGTTAAAGTTCAAATTAAATTAAAATTATTAGTTTAAGCATTTCGTACATGAATTTTGCGATGTGACCATTACATTCATTCCAGTGATTACAAATCTCCGTGAAAAATGAAATCACATTATCACATTTTTAAAAAGTAAAATGAATTTAAAATTTTAAATTAGAAATCCAGAACCAAGTCCACAACACCAAACAAAGGTCAATAGTCTATGTTCATAAATTATGATAATATATATGGCAATCTTTAATTGATTATTAATGCCATATTTGTGCTATCTCACTCTAATCCAGATTCCTACAACAAGAGCGAAATCTCCCAAGCTTGGCCGGAAAAAGGACTCTCCTTATAGAGAAGAGAACAGTGGAAATGGCAATACCATTCGGCCTAGTAGGTTGAGCTTAGATGAAAAAGTGTTCTCCGGGGATAGCCATGCAAAGGAGCATTCTCTTGTTACTCCCAAAAGGACTTATCGTAAGTCTCTTCCTAAGTTGCCATCTCATAATACTAATTTATTATCCCGTCAAACAAAGAAATCTTCGCATTCTAAATCCAAGGAGACTGCCAAAACTGAAAGTGATGTTCCGAAAGTGGAGGCAGCCATTGTTGAGCCTAAGGTGAATGATGAGTCTTGTTTCGACGGTGAACACATTACTATGGTGGGGGAATCTATTGCTGTGGACCATTAAAAGCAGGGAAGGGGGGACGTGCTTGGAAATCACTTTTGGGTTAGATATACTCCGTATTGCATAGTACAAATAAGGCTCTGATTCATTTAAAAAGAACGGGGGTCTGGTTGTCTGTAATGATCATTTTTCTTACAAATTGTGGCACTAGAAACTATGTGCAGTCGTGCAGATCGCAAACTTTAAGGTCACTCTTTTTTGACAATTTGTGGGTCTTAGTTTTTATGGGTTTAGATGTATTCTTTATTGTTTTTATTGTTATATATACAGAGTAATTGTTATCATTATTATAATTTAAATCACTATTTGATGGGTTAATAGAGCTTGGGCCTTGGGGTTAGTGAGAGGTTGGGTAGTAAAGCACTAAAGCTAGAGTGAAAAGGTGAATTAAATTTGGCAGAATAATGGCACACAGGTAATAATTTGAATCCCTTTCTATAAGTTGGAGATGTTTAAGCTCATAATGCCCATCTGCCCCTTAATTGTAACTGTTGCCCATGAAATAGTTTCAAGATCCCATGTTTTTATAAGTTTTGGATGCTCATGGAACCTATTACACATTGTTCACCCTATAATCCTTCCTTAATACAAACTCATATGCTCAAAATTTCAAGAGAATGCTGCTTTGCATCGTGAATAATTCTTCCTTAAACATATCCCCTTTAGACTTTAGTAAGGCTCGAATGGTTGACCCTATTGAAGTTTGTGAATTTGTTGAACTTGTACTTGATTTTATAGAATTTATTGAATTTGTGAAATTTACTCAATTATTAAAAATGAAGTTGAGACTTGAGAGTGGACAGTTCGAGTTTTAAGTTGATTATTGAAGTTATTGAAATGACGATTGATAGTTTCCACTACTTTTCCCTTTTTCCTTTTCCTATATCTCATTTCGTCATGATACACGGCTTGTGAATCAGGTCGCTCATAATTTGGCTAGTTAGATGTTTTTATGTTCGATCATATTGTATGGGTTTTACATTCCCCTACATATATTCGAGATGCCTTGTTTAATCATTAATGATTTATTAATGACATCTAATTGTTTTCCTCTAAAAACACATGAGGCTAAAGTCACTATCTTCACTAAAACAAGTACCCATAGTCTTATTTTTTAATTAGTAGCTACTTTTGGGATGTCAAAAAAATAGTTTCTGGCTAAAAATGTCTATAATTACACCAGCTTACTTATACTACGTATATACTGACACAATTTCCCCGGAGATGTATGCGCATATATACTTATAGAATATAGATACAAGTTGGGGATGCATCTCAGCATTTCAGTCTTCGTCTTGGGAACGTTAATTTTGAAGGACAAAAACAACTATGGATCCGAATCAGAGCCAGAATGGGACTGATTGGGCCCTCCAGTACCGAAGTCGCAACTGATAAATTGATAGATAGTCCAAATGAAGTTACTCTAAAACAGACCCAAAATAATCTGTTCCAATAATCAACATTTTTTTTTTTATTGAAAAGGAAAATTCAAACATAAGAATTAAAATATAATAATCTCTAACAGGAAATATTTAATTCAAGCAGGTGTGTCCTGTAATATAGTTAACCCCTTTATAGTTTGATGCGCCATGTTTTGTTAATTTGTCTGCACAAGTGTTACTCTAACGAAAAGTGTGTTTTATTTGAATAAATCTTTCTTCTGCATGTAGAGTGCTGGACTCGGGTCGGTTCGGGCACGGGCCGGGCCTAGACCCGACCGAGCAGCCGGTTAGGAAATGTTGGGCCCGGGACCGGCCCGCCCTTAGGCCGGTTCCGGTTCGGTTCGGTTCGGGTCACCCGCCCGGGTCACGGGTCGGGCTATCCGCCGGGCCGGGTCGGTTCAAACAAATCCCCCCCTATTTTATTTTGCAGCTTATTCATTTACTTAACTATACACACACACACACACACACACACACACACACTTAATATACTAATTAATATACTTCGAATTAATTAGATATAATTTCAACTATATTAGTAGATATAATAAATGTATAACTAATATATAATATAATGTTTATAGTATATAATATATAAGTATACTACTATAAGATGAGTAATACACTTATATTTAATACTTTAATATATAAAGTGTATATTAAGTATATGTAAATTGTAATATATGTTTTAGCCCCTATTACTCCAGGCTCCCCCCAGCCCCCCAGCCCCAGACACCCCCTTGAGTAAAAAAAAGTAGATTACAAGTAGAGATTAAGTAGATAAGGAATATAGGTAAATATAATATATGTATTTAAAAGTAGATAATTAATATATAAGTAGATAAGAAATATAACTAATATAATATATGTATTTATAAGTAGATAATTAATATAAAGTTGATATAATATATGTATAAGTATTAAATAGTAAAATATAATGGAGAATAAGAGAATTTGAGAAGATGAAGATGGAGATGATTAGAGAGTAGAGAGAAGGATTTAGGAAGAGTTGAAGAAGATGTGGAAAAATGTTTAAAATAAGGAGTATTTATAGGTTTTTTTTAACCCCCACCCCCACAAGCCCCGGCCCCCCTGGTACCCACCCAACGGCTATATAGCCGTTTGGGATGTGGGTCAAGAGCCAAACGACTCTTTAGAGCCCCTCCCTCCATCCATCCATCCATCCATCCATCCATCCATCCATGTGAGAAACAAAAATATGGAACAAGTTTTCGAATTTTTATAACAAACTAGTAAACTAATTTATCATTGTTGTTACATGAGATCTTTATTGTGTTTATCTTGGGTTTAATACACCAATCCCCCTCATGATATTTAAATTCGACGCATTGACCTCTTGGGATCGTTATGCAATATGGATGAGCTAGTACGTTCAAGGTTGTCTAAAATCGAAACCAGTTTGTAAGAGGTTGTAAAATATGGAGTAGTATCAAAGGATATTTTCCATTGGGGAAGAAATTCTCTGATCCGATCTAATATATTTAAATCTAATCTAATACGGAGCATCTCAAACTGAAAATAAACAGTGAAAACATCCAGAATGTCATATATTGCAATGAGAGTTTGCCCTTGACAAGATTATATAAAAACCTAATTTCATGTTATATTTTAAATAATCTTAGTGAAGTGTGAATTACAATAATCAAATATTCAAATGCCATATATGTGCAATAGAAGTAAACTATTGTTTCTTTATAAAGAAGTACGGAGTATTAAGGTAGCAACATTTTTCTTCATTCATCCAACAATAGTACACTGACAACTTTGTGTTTGTCATAAAAAAGGACATGTATTATGCTTATTGCACATTTATGAAAACCAATTAACCAAACATAGAAGAAAGGAACAAGGAATCATCTTTTTGTTAGAGATGGATGCAAAAAAGAATTAATATGCACTACCATGCATATAACTCATTATACCAATCTACCAACAAGAAGATGAAAATAAATCTAAACACACAAAACATAAACAAAACAAGCAAAGAAAACATGAAAAGGAAATTACATTTACTGCATGAGGGAAACTAAATGAATAATCTAATTCAATCCTCCACAAATTGGTGAATAACTGATGTTATTTCCACTGTTCACTATTTGTTGTTCCTCTTCTTTTTCGAACGCTTCACCGGAGTCCCAAAGGAATCGAGCATACGAAGCAAGTACATGACTGAAAATTGAATTGCATCCAAAATATGTTTATTTGTTGAAACTATCTCTAACACTCACATCCTTGGAAACTATGCCAAATTCTTGAAACTCAACACATCAGCATTTACTAGCATATGTAACATTAACTGTAACATTTTCTTCAGTAATCATTCATCCCTAAAGAAATAAACATGGAAGTTGTGTGTGTATAAAACTATAAACCATCCCTAATTGTCTGGAGGGACTCAAACCACCGTCAATTGTGCTTCTTAGTTCTTACTTTAATGTTTGAATCAGAAAGCTAAAAACAATATACAGTGAATGCGAGTGATTATTGACTAAAACCATTAGGGAAGAATATCTCCTATATACAAATAAAGTTTCCACTTCCTACGGTCAATAATTCAATCTTTGAAGTTAGAGAGTACTCCGTAAGTCCGTATTATTCAAGTATATACTAGTAAAATACAAAATAAGTTATGGACAACCATATAGTAGTGATTTTTACTATATTTGTGTAGTTCCAACAATAGGCATTTCATACACTAGTCTTTTCATGTAGTTTAAAACTTTTAAAGTGAGACACAGAAGGTAGTGAATAGTGTAGGTAGTGAATAGTATAGAAAAGTGCACAAATTAGAAGACAGTAATGAAAAATAATATGAAGAGTAAAAAGTAAAGGGTATTTAACTTTTTAAGATGAAAAACTTACCAAAAAGGGAAAAAGTCACAAGTATTTAAACATATCTCAAAAGGGAATAGGGATAATTACTATCACATCTTAAGGTTTGGTCAAAATTACAAGTTCAACCTTGCGTTTTCAAAAATTAATTAGTTTCCCCACAAGTTTCGATTTTTCTCACTATTTGCCCCCCTCAAGTCAATAAAGATCTAATTATATTTAATACGTAGTATAACTCTTAAGTTCAATAAATGTTGTTGTACAATATAAAATTTTAAAATTCAAAACAATTCATCATCATAATTATTAGTCGCGGGTGTTGGTCATTATTCACTCTACTTAGCTACTAGTATAAAAAATGTTATTCAGAGTAGCTTAGGCAAATAATCTCGCATAATATATACAAGTATGAGATACATTAATAAAAATAGTCTAAAATATGTCCTCCAAAAAATCTAAATATTTTTCCTTCATCAATACAAAAGTCTTATATGCTTAAGTCATACCACTCAACAATTTGATTCCATTAGTAACAAATAAGAAATTCCCATTAACAATTATGATTTATAATCATGATGATGGGCTATTTTGAATAGAGTGGTAACTATGGTAACAATGACCAAACGCCAAGGGGTAATAGTAATTCTCCCAAGAGCATGTGTTAAGACTTGCAACTATATAAACATGGATGGAGTACATGTTAAGTACGAGTAATTTTTTCCGAAGCATTTTAAAATCACTATTTAATACTGAGTATAATATATGAATAATTGATGGTCAAAGTTTGAAAAGAGTGGCTCCAAAAAAGAAAGTGAAACCGCAGTATAATACTCCCTCCGTCCCCTTTTAAATGGGACGGGAGATGGTGGCACGGGTTTTAAGAAAAGTGAGTTTGTGTGGTTGATATTAATTGATAAAGTAAGAATAAAGTAAGAATGATTTTGAGCCACACAAAGTTTACCAAATAAGGTATGGGGCAATTAAATAGGGACATCCCAATATGGTAAAACAGGACATTTAAAAGGGGACGGAGGGAGTACTACATATAAGGTGTGCGTATATAACATTAAACAGTATACCACATAGATACTTTTCAGGTTACACTCACATAGATAAACTAACAACCATGTTCTACATATAAAAAACATTAACAGGGTGGTAGAATTATTACCAATCATCTGGAGAAGCTTGGACTGCTCGATCATAATATGAAATGGCTTGATCAGCATCTTTATGGAGACCCCACATCAAATCACCATACATTGATAAAATACTCCCTTCATCAATTCCACTTCCCATTATTGCTCTTAAACAATACTCCTCAGCTTTAGCATAATCACCCCTCACCTAGATTAACCACTAATGAATGTTAAGAACACTGATCTCTATCATCCACATTTTGAAATTAAAAAAAAAAAAAACAGTTACCTGAGACAAGAACTTGGCATAGTTACCAAGTATGAGAGGATGATGGGGATGATCTTGGATTAATTTTTGGTAGTACTCATCTGTAATATCAAACCCATTCTCACCACCGCCATCTCCAGCGCAACCACCGCCAATCACGCGGCGCATTATCCCCAAAGTCAAATCAGAGCCGCTTTCTTGATTTTCCGGCCCGGATTGAGAATGCCCATTGTGGAAAGATTTGATCTTGGGCGTGGGTGGGTCCCTTTTGATAGGATGGAGGTCGGATGCGGCGGTTCTGGAGAAGAGGGTTCTCTTGATTGGATTACGGCGGCGCGCGGAGATGGGAAGCGGAGAGGCTCTGGTTTTGAGGAAGAGTAGTAGGGGGTCTGGTGAAGAGGAGGAAGAAGGATATTTTGCCCATACTGATTTTAAGACTGGGGAAGATAAATTTCTTACCAGCATTTTTATCTTCTTCTTCACTCAGGCTCGCCGGAGGCCTCCTCTCATTCCCAAGAACAAAGGATTCGTTTTCCACAAACGGTTGCCTTTTGTAGTTTGAGTCTTTCTCTGGGAATGGGTACATATTTAATTGTACCAAAAAGGTAAAATCCTTAGCCATAAGGCCCACAACCCCACATCCAAATATCCAAGTAAGCCTAGGGACTAGGGACTAGGGAGGTTATTAAGGATATTGTTAGTTGGATTAATTTCAATTATTAAATATTAGATTATGGTCTTGTTTGTAATTAGTTACGTTCTTAGCGGTTAGATGTTAGCTGGTTATATTAGCGGTTTGGTAACAACTGATCAAATTAGTTGTTTTAAATGATTGGTTATGTTAGGTATTTGTAAATAGTTGTTTGGTAATTTAGCTTGATGGAGATAGTTGTTGTGATGTAAAAAGAGACGTTATCTAATGCACACGTGCTTATTATTTGTAGTAATAATAGTAATTATAATAATAATTTGATTGTGATTAATAGTATAATATAAAAAGCATGCGTATTTGTAATTTTAATAACTAAGCAATCAATTTGAATGATGAAATTATCTTGGGAAAATTTAACTTTGCACCCCATGTTTTGGGTGATATTGAACTTTGCATCTCATTTTAAAAAAACTTTGACTTTGCATCTCATTAAGAATTTTTTCTTCACTAAAAAATGAAGTGCAAAGTCAAAGTTTTCTCAAAATGAAGTGCAAAGTTCAATATCACTCAAAAAGTGGAGTGCAAAGTCAAATTCTCTCAGTTATCTAACTTAAAAAGGCATAAATTATTTTGGATGTTTAATGATACACCGTAAAAAAACTTGAGACATTAATATGTGCTTAAACAACATTTTGTTGTTAAGAATAATAATTTTGTAATTTATCCTAATTACTTATTAAATATTAAATATTTAAACATTTGAATAATATATATATATATATATATATATATATATATATAGAGAGAGAGAGAGAGAGCTATTCCGGTCAGGAAATTCCTGACCGGAGCCCCGTCCGGCCTCCTCCATTTGGGAGCCTTTCCGGTGGTATTTTTTGCTCAAATTTTTTGTGTATGTTCTTCATCAAGTCTAGTTCATCCATACCAAATTTTATCAAAAAATTCAATCGGGAAGGTCGTCAAATGATTTTTGCAAGTTAACTGGTCCGGAATATGTATTTTCCGGACCAGTTAACTTGCAAAAATCATTTGACGACCTTCCCGGTTGAGTTTTTGGCTGAATTTTTTTGTGGATAGAACATAGACAAATCTGTAAAGTAATATCAACCCTCTCCTCCTCTGCTGCAAAACCTAACACTCTTGAACTGAAGAAGTTAGAACTCGGCAACTCCCCTAAACTTTATCTAGTCATCAAAGGTTCCTACGTGGAGGGACATCATCTCCTCTTTGTTATGACAATCTAACAATTTTTAAGTGTAAAGGAAGTAGGGACGAGATTAGAAATTTTTGAGGTTTTCTGCATAAAATAGCCTATCCACGCAACACACGAGGCTAGAAAGAAAGAAGAGCGACATGGTGCATATTACGGATGTAATCTAAGTGAACCTTAAGCAAACTGAACGCCAGCATATAGAATGGAATTTGCTTAGATTCGAAGGAGGATATTTATCAGGGATAGTAAATTTAAGTAAAATATGATCAAAATTAGTGAAAAGTGAATAAATTAGAGATGATGAAACTCACCTGAAGCAAAGTGATTAAGTCATAATGTGGTTGTGCATTCTTGTGAACGGAGATTGTTGGATTATTTCCAATTAATATGACCTAAGGACCAATATTAATATGTGTTCTATATTTATGTATTATATATATAATTATGTATTATATATATATGTGTGTATTATTTGATGGAAATAATACTTAAGGGATACCATTGTGGTAACACCCTTTAGGACAATAAATGAAAGGTTGTGACTATTGGTTATTTCCCAATATAACTACTCCTCTCCTCATTGAAACACACGTACAACACCATACCAAGAGGAGAGAGGACATCACAAACTCCTTACTATTGCATACTCCATCTATCATTGTCCTAAAAGGGATTACACATCCATTTCCTTAAAGCAATGGCATCATCTTCTTCCAAAATCACTCAAATGAACATTGGATACTCTCCAAGTAAGTCTCCATAAATTTACAATTATGATTATTTGTGTGATGTTATTTGATCTTGGTTATTATGATGATTAGTTTTTCCTCATTTGGTATCAGAGCATTTACGTAACATCACCGTTAAAATTATATGTTCTCTGCGTTTCTTAACGATGATATAAACTTAGTACGTAAAGTTGGTTTCTTCGTTGAATTTGCTATTCGCATGACTGCCTAAAATAAAAACTTGTTAATTTTGAGTCCCCTAATCGCATGATATGACTGCATAAAAAGTTACTCCGTATTATTGTGGTCTATAGTTCGTATGTTGGTACATATCTGTATATTTTCATGGCGTATATATATACTGCTATAATTTTTATATACATTACTTGAATGCGGTAAATGGAATAATGATTTTCCGTATATGAATTAAAGTTGCATACCGCATACGCCTGGTAGAATGGAACATAAGTTTTACGTAAATGGTGTAAAGTTGAAATACATTACGTACGTTGATATTCATGAGTATATTATGTTTGTTACTATCCTCCTCTTATGAAGTACGGAGTACATTATTATCATGGAGTATACATGTTGTTTTGTCTTTGCCTGGAGGATTTTGTTATATCACTCTGTATTACTTTATTCTACTGTTATGTCATGATAAGAGTATAAACGTGATCGCAAATAAGTGCACATTACATGCATTAACAGCCCTGCGATCATTATTTTTATCTGCATATGAAACTATTCTATTAAAGTTGTTGTTATTTGTTAATATGGATCGTGTTAATATGGAGTATATTATTTGAATTTTGTTTAAAAAAAGGAAGTTATGATAACATGATTCTCTGTTGTGAATTGATTCGAATCCATTACCTTGTTAATTTAAATGTCGGCCCAACGGAAGACATTTAAGTTAATATGGATAAATTTTGCACCCCATTTATGCTCTCGAATCAATTTTGTAAAAAAATAATAATAATAATAATAAGTTTGTCATGCTCTAATTTGGGATTTTATGCAAATTATATGGAACATTATACAATGAACCCAACGGCTAGTTGTTTAATGGTACATATGATTGTAGTATTGACTTTATGAACATTGACATCTCAATTTTTGCCCAAAGGTGATTTGGGATGTCTATGTAGTAAATTATAATGATTATAATGCCATTAAGTTTAATTATTGGAATTAGCCAAAGTGAAACCAATGGTTAAACAAGACATTTTAGAATCTATTATTTCGGTGTTGATAATAGATAATTTTTACTGACATACTTTATGTTAAATTTGTCAATTTTAATTTTCTCTCGTGCAATCGTTTTTTTGCATACTCTTAAATTTGATAACTTTCCAACAGCCACTTTAACATCAAATTGTGGGATTGAACCCTTAACTGGCACTAATTTCGAGTCATGGAGAGACAATGTCAGACTAACCCTTGGAGTCATGGATCTTGATTATGCCCTAAGACATGATCCTCCCGCTGCACTCACCGCTGAAAGTACTCAAGAGCATAAGCGAGTGCATGAACAATGGGAGAGATCAAATCGCATGTCTCTTATGATCATAAAGAATTCCATCTCGGTTGCCATTCGTGGAGCCATACCGGATTCAGACAATGCGAAAACTTATTTGGACTCCGTAGAGGAGCAATTCAAGGGCACCTCCAAGGCTCATGCGAGTACATTAATCTTGCAAATGTTGACAAAGAAATATGATGGTGTGAGTGGTGTGCGTGAGCACATTATGATGATGAGTGACATGGCTAGCAAACTTAAGAGCATGGATATGGAGATTAGTGAGGGCTTCTTAGTCCACTTCATTATGACCTCCTTGCCCGCACAATTTGGTCCTTTTAAAATTAACTATAACACTCAAAAGGAAAAATGGAAAATGAGTGAGTTAATTGCAATGTGCGTACAAGAGGAGGAGCGCCTCAAAGTGGAAAGGCCCGATGTCGCTCATCTCACAACCACAAACACTAACAAGAGAAAGGGCAAGTTCAAGACTGGTGAAAGCTCAAAGGTTCACAAAAATGGTACAAGTGCATTCGCGGTCTCAACCAATGCCAAGGGTCCTCCTCGTTGTAAATTTTGCCATAAGAAAGGGCATTTTCAACGAGAGTGCTCTAAGTTCAAGGAATGGTTAGCCAAGAAAGGTACACATCTATTTATGATTTATGAGTCCTTTAATATAAGTGTTCCAATAAACACATGGTGGATTGATTCTGGTTCCATGGTTCATGTTACAAACTCCTTACAGGGATTCCATACAATCCGGAGGTTGGAAAGAAACCAAAGGACCATTAAAATCGGGAATGGTGAAGACCTTAATGTTGAAGCTGTTGGTACCTTACCTTTAGTATTGGAAGGTGGCTTCTGCATGTATTTATATGACACATTATATGTACCGAGCATTACTCGGAATTTAGTATCTGTACCTAAGTTAAACAATAATGGCTATGTATTAACTTTTAATAATGGTAAAGTTACTATATGTAAAGATTCCGATGTTGTTGGTTATGGTTGCTTAGAAGACAACCTTTATAAATTATGCTTGGATGATACATTTTCGAAATCCTTGTTGTCATATAATATCAATGAAAATCCAATCAAAAGAAAACGAGACTTGGAAGCTTCATCCAAGTTGTGGCATCAACGTTTAGGCCACATTTCACGGGATCGAATGCTAAGGCTCGTGAAGGATGGAATATTACCATCTCTCGATTTTAGTGATTTTGAAACATGTGTAAAATGCCTTAAAGGGAAAATGACAAAGGGAAATAAAAGAGGCGCCACAAGGAGTTCCGGTTTACTGGAATTAATTCATACTGACATTTGTGGTCCTTTTCCCGCTGGGATAACTGGACATAAGTCATTTATCACTTTCATAGATGATTATTCGCGATATATGTACTTGTACTTGATCAATGAAAAATCTGATGCACTTGACATGTTCAAAACCTTTAAGGCCGAAGTTGAGAATCAACTCGACCGTAAGATAAAGGTAGTGAGATCAGATAGAGGAGGCGAGTATTATGGTCGACATACTGATATAGGTCAGGCTCCCGGACCCTTCTTTGAATTTTGTAAGGAACATGGGATCGTGAATCAATTTACCATGCCGGGTACTCCTCAGCAAAACGGTGTCGCTGAGAGAAGAAATAGGACCCTTATGGACATGGTACGAAGTATGTTAGCTAATACAAGCTTACCTAAGTTTCTATGGACCGAGGCCTTAAAAACAGCAGTTCATATACTCAATAGGGTTCCTTCTAAATCTGTTCCTAAAACCCCTTATGAAATCTGGACGGGAAGGAAACCGAGCCTTAGGTATATGAAAGTATGGGGATGCCCGGCTGAAGCCAAGCTTTATAATCCCCAACAAAGGAAGCTCGACATGAAAACCGTCAGTTGCTCCTTTATAGGATACCCTGAACGCTCAAAGGGTTATCGATTTTATTGCCCGTCTCACACTACTCGCATTGTTGAGACTCGACATGCTGAGTTCCTAGAGAACTCAAACATTAGTGGGAGCAAGTGTATTGATGATGTTGAATTACAAGAAGAAGTGCAAGAGGAGGGGGGAATGTTCTCTATACCTTTTCAACCTCTTGTACCTCTTGTAGACAATACTACCCTGCCAAGTTCATCTGTCGAAGGTAATGCTGCTCCCTATGTGCCACAAAATGAAGAAACATCAGCTTTTGAGGAAAATAATGAAATATCTCAAGCTGGGCAAATCCCCGAAGTTATCACTGATCTTCAAGAGCCCGAACCACCATTGAGAAGATCACAAAGATCTAGACGGCCTACTAATTTTGATGATTATGTTATTTATCTTAATGAGGCCGATCTAGGAAAATGTGATGATCCGACCTCTTATATTGAGGCCATTTGTAGTGACCAATCTACTCAATGGAATGAAGCAATGATTGACGAGCTTGATTCCATGAGTAAAAATGACGTATGGGAACTTGTTGAATTGCCTAACGGTGTAAAACCAGTAGGATGCAAGTGGGTCTTCAAAACAAAATTAGATGCAAATGGAAACGTCGAGCGCTTCAAAGCGCGATTGGTCGCCAAAGGCTACACCCAAAAGGAGGGAATTGATTACAAGGAGACTTTCTCTCCTGTTTCAAGAAAAGATTCCCTAAGGATTGTTATGGCCTTAGTAGCTCATTTCGACTTAGAGCTACATCAAATGGATGTTAAGACTGCTTTTCTTAATGGTGATTTACATGAAGATGTATATATGACTCAACCGGAAGGTTTTACGACTAAGGGTCAAGAACATCTGGTGTGCAAACTTAAGAAATCAATATATGGGCTAAAACAAGCATCACGCCAGTGGTATCTAAAATTTGATGAAGTCATGAAAAAGAACGACTTCTATAAAAATCAAGTGGATCAGTGTATCTACCTCAAAATGAGTGGGAGCAATTTTGCGATACTTGTTCTTTACGTTGATGATATCCTCTTGGCAAGTAACAGTGTCGATTTGTTGCATGAGTCAAAACGATTACTTTCACGACATTTTGACATGAAAGATCTCGGAGAGGCCTCTTATGTTATAGGCATCGAAATTCACCGAGATCGGGCCAATAGGACATTAGGACTGTCTCAAAAGGCATACGTGGAACGTATACTCACACGCTTTAATATGCAACATTGTTCTCCCTCAGTTGCTCCCGTTGTCAAAGGAGATGTTTTTGGCTCATTTCAATGTCCAAAAACGGAATTAGAAAAGGATCAAATGAGGTTGATTCCTTACGCATCCATAGTTGGAAGTTTGATGTATGCTCAAGTTTGTACTCGTCCCGATATCGCTTACATATCCGGTATGTTAGGCCGATATCAGCATAATCCTGGCCTTGATCATTGGAAGGCTGCTAAGAAGGTCTTACGATATCTTCAGGGGACTAAGGATTACAAACTGACTTATAAAGGAACAAACGATTTAGAAGTAACGGGATATTCCGACTCCGATTTCGCTAAATGCAAAGACGATAGAAAATCGACGTCGGGATACATTTTTATGATGGCAGGCGGGCCCATTTCATGGAGGAGTCAGAAACAACAATTGACCACTACCTCTACTATGATGGCTGAATATGTTGCTGTTTATAATGCAACATGTCATGGAATGTTATTGAGGAATTTGATCAAGGGACTCAAAATAGTTAACTCCATTTCAAGACCGCTGAAGATTTACTGTGATAATTCTGCTGCCGTGAGCTTTTCAAATGGTAATAGTTCGAGCGGGGCTGGATTATATCTCGATACAAAGTTCTTGTTTGTACGTGAACGAGTTGAAGAAAATAATCTTTCTATCGAGTATATTAGCACTCATGATATGCTTGCGGATCCGATGACAAAAGGTCTACCGCCCAAGATTTTTCAAGAACATGTGATGAAAATGGGTTTTAGTCGAGACCTCACTTAATTGGCATAGTGCTCTTATGAACAATTCATGTATATAAATAAATACTTGAATTCTTAATTGTCTATTATATGTATACCGTGCGCACTAATTTTTGGTATCATGGACAAATTAATATTGATTACCACATTACATTTGATCATTTATGTTTAATGACCTTAATGTCCTAATACATATGCTATAGTATGATTAGTGGGGGTCCCGTATCTAAATAGATGCGAGTGGCTGTACTTCTCTATTATAGTATAGATATTGGGTATGTAGAACACATAATTGGCCAACTTAATGATTATTGGTCACTAGGCCAAGTGGGAGAATGTTGGATTATTTCCAATTAATATGACCTAAGGACCAATATTAATATGTGTTCTATATTTATGTATTATATATATAATTATGTATTATATATATATGTGTGTATTATTTGATGGAAATAATACTTAAGGGATACCATTGTGGTAACACCCTTTAGGACAATAAATGAAAGGTTGTGACTATTGGTTATTTCCCAATATAACTACTCCTCTCCTCATTGAAACACACGTACAACACCATACCAAGAGGAGAGAGGACATCACAAACTCCTTACTATTGCATACTCCATCTATCATTGTCCTAAAAGGGATTACACATCCATTTCCTTAAAGCAATGGCATCATCTTCTTCCAAAATCACTCAAATGAACATTGGATACTCTCCAAGTAAGTCTCCATAAATTTACAATTATGATTATTTGTGTGATGTTATTTGATCTTGGTTATTATGATGATTAGTTTTTCCTCACGGAGATAGCAGGGATAAAGGAGACGGGAAACCTTGGATTGAATATTCGTTCGTTCCTTCAACCCCTGGCCTTTTGCTTTCGCCCCAAATAAAAAAATCAGCCGTGGGATGGAGCTCCTTTCGTCTCTAGCAGTCCACCCCTGCCTTCTGACGTAAAAGCAAAAACCAGATGCGGGATGGAACTCTGTTTGTTAAAAGAAATTGGCTGGAGATGGGTAACAGCTTGGTTTGCAATTATCGTGTTTTTAATAAAATATATGAGCTGGTTTCAATAGCCAATAAGGTGATGCCAACTGTAGAATGCACCGCAGCATCCCATAATGCAGATGCACCATAAAATTTTCCAACTATTTTTAATCTCTTACTTTTATAGTAGCATATCAAATTTTTATTAAATTTGATTATGGTATTTGAGACTTTGTTAAGCTTTTAATGTATTTTCTGAATATGTAATTTTTTTCTAAAAATAATTTGAGTGCGGACATGGATCTGTTTGCTTTATCGTCGATCAAACATCGTAAACCGAATTGTCTCATTCTTAGTAGGACAGAGGCAATATTTAATAGAGTAATATTAAATGAATCAGCCAACGAAAAACGCTTTGTGACGGAGTATATATTATCAATCCATCTTTTGACAACACACCAACCTATTCCGTTAGTCAAACTCGCTGACTGAATCCGCTATTGACAATCCCCTAACATAATCTGATATCCGTTAGCTGATAATTACTCCATGTCAAACACGTCCAATATGGATAATGTTTTAGAAGCTGCCTTGAAAAGCTTCTAAATTAAAAACTACGTAAATAGTTTTTAATTTAGAAGCTGCTCAAGGTAGAAATAGTTTTTTTTCTTTTACTCCTGGAGAGGTAGAATTAATTTTATCACATATTTAGCCTTTATCAAACAATTACAAAATGTATCTTTTCAATTAGATGTTTACAAAAAAAAGTCATCTTCAAGATAATTTTAGCATTATCACTGAACGCGTTCAATGACTCTATTTTACAACTTATCAGTTTTATCAACCAATTTTTTTTATCAAACGCATAACTTATTATTTTGTGCGTTGTTGTGTAATAAGCAAAATAAATAAAATTGGAGTTACTTTTTTTTCTACAATGGCTGAAATTACCGTAGAGTATCCTTTTATCTATTTTTTTCATGTAATTTTTTCTTTATATTCTTTATAAAATAATTCTAAGATCACCATGAAATATCAGTTACAAATTGATTTTTTTTAACCATATGATAGGATAACCATTTTATTTATTTATTTATTTATTTATTTATTTATTTATTTATTCATTTATTCATTCATTTATTTATTTATTTATTTATTTATTTATTTATTTATTTATTTATTTATTTATTTATTTATTTATTTATTTATTTATTTATTTATTTATTTATTTATTAATTTATTAATTTATTTATTTATTTATTTATTTATTTATTTATTGATTCATTCATTCATTCATTCATTCATTCATTCATTCATTCATTCATTCATTCATTCATTCATTCATTCATTCATTCATTCATTCATTTATTTATTCGTTCGTTCATTCATTCATTTATCATTGACATGTGAGAAACAAAAATATGGAACAAGTTTTCGAATTTTTATAACAAACTAGTAAACTAATTTATCATTATTGTTACATGAGATCTTTATTGTGTTTATCTTGGGTTTAATACACCAATCCCCCTCATGATATTTAAATTCGACGCATTGACCTCTTGGGATCGTTATGCAATATGGATGAGCTAGTACGTTCAAGGCTGTCTAAAGTCGAAACCAGTTTGTAAGAGGTTGTAAAATATGGAGTAGTATCAAAGGATATTTTCAATTGGGTAAGAAATTCTCTGATCCGATCTAATATATTTAAATCTAATCTAATATGGAGCATCTCAAACTGAAAATAAACAGTGAAAACATCCAGAATGTCATATATTGCAATGAGAGTTTGCCCTTGACAAGATTATATAAAAACCTAATTTCATGTTATATTTTAAATAATCTTAGTGAAGTGTGAATTACAATAATCAAATGCCATATATGTGCAATAGAAGGAAACTATTGTTTCTTTATAAAGAAGTATTAAGGTAGCAGCATTTTTCTTCATTCATCCAACAATAGTACACTGACAACTTTGTGTTTGTCATAAAAAAGGACATGTATTATGCTTATTGCACATTTATGAAAACCAATTAACCAAACATAGAAGAAAGGAACAAGGAATCATCTTTTTGTTAGAGATGGATGCAAAAAAGAATTAATATGCACTACCATGCATATAACTCATTATACCAATCTACCAACAAGAAGATGAAAATAAATCTAAACACACAAAACATAAACAAAATAAGCAAAGAAAACATGAAAAGGAAATTACATTTACTGCATGAGGGAAACTAAATGAATAATCTAATTCAATCCTCCACAGATTGGTGAATAACTGATGTTATTTCCACTGTTCACTATTTGTTGTTCCTCTTCTTTTTCGAACGCTTCACCGGAGTCCCAAAGGAATCGAGCATACGAAGCAAGTACATGACTGAAAATTGAATTGCATCCAAAACTTGTTTATTTGTTGAAACTATCTCTAACACTCACATCCTTGGAAACTATGCCAAATTCTTGAAACTCAACACATCAGCATTTACTAGCATATGTAACATTAACTGTAACATTTTCTTCAATAATCATTCATCCCTAAAGAAATAAGCATGGAAGTTGTGTGTGTATAAAACTATAAATCATCCCTAATTGTCTGGAGGGACTCAAACCACCGTCAATTGTGCTTCTTAGTTCTTACTTTAATGTTTGAATCAAAAAGCTAAAAACAATATACAGTGAATTCGAAGTGATTATTGACTAAAACCATTAGGGAAGAATATCTAATCTCCTATATAAAAATAAAGTTTCCACTTCCTACGGTCAATAATTCAATCTTTGAAGTTAGAGAGTACTCCGTATATACTAGTAAAATACAAAATAAGTTATGGACAACCATATAGTAGTGATTTTTACTATATCTGTGTAGTTCCAACAATAGGCATTTCATACACTAGTCTTTTCATGTAGTTTAAAACTTTCAAAGTGAGACACATAAGGTAGTGAATAGTGTAGAAAAGTGTACAAATTAGAAGACACTAATGAAAAATAATATGAAGAGTAAAAAGTAAAGGGTATTTAACTTTTTAAGTTGAAAAACTTACCAAAAAGGGAAAGAGTCACAAGTATTTAAACATATCTCAAAAGGGAATAGGGATAATTACTATCACATCTTAAGGTTTGGTCAAAATTACAAGTTCAACCTTGCGTTCTCAAAAATTAATTAGTTACCCCACGAGTTTCAATTTTTCTCACTATTTGCCCCCCTCAAGTCAATAAAGATCTAATTATATTTAATATGTAGTATAAGTACTCTTAAGTTCAATAAATGTTGTTGTACAATATAAAATTTTAAAATTCAAAACAATTCATCATCATAATTATTAGTCGCGGGTGTTGGTCATTATTCACTCTACTTAGCTACTAGTATAAAAAAATGGTATTCAGAGTAGCTTAGGCAAATAATCTCGCCGCATAATATATACAAGTATGAGATACATTAATAAAAATAGCCTAAAATATGTGGTCTAAAAATTCTAAATATTTTTCCTTCATCAATACAAGTCTTATGCTTAAGTCATATCACTCAACAATTTGATTCCATTAGTAACAAATAAGAAATACCCATTAACAATTATGATTTATAATCATGATGATGGGCTATTTTGAATAGAGTGGTAACTATGGTAACTATGACCAAACGCCAAGGGGTAATAGTAATTCTCCCAAGAGCATGTGTTAAGACTTGCAACTATATAAACATGGATGGAGTACATGTTAAGTATTTTTTTCCGAAGCATTTTAAAATCACAATTTAATACTGAGTATAATATATGAATAATCGATGGTCAAAGTTTGAAAAGAGTGGCTCCAAAAAAGAAAGTGAAACCGCAGTACAATATAAGGTGTGCGTATATAACATTAAACAGTATACCACATAGATACTTTTCAGGTTACACTCAAATAGATAAACTAACAGCCATGTTCTAAATATAAAAAACATAAACAGGGTGGTAGAATTATTACCAATCATCTGGAGAAGCTTGGACTGCTCGATCATAATATGAAATGGCTTGATCAGCATCTTTATGGAGACCCCACATCAAATCACCATACATTGATAAAATACTCCCTTCATCAATTCCACTTCCCAGTATTGCTCTTAAACAATACTCCTCAGCTTTAGCATAATCACCCCTCACCTAGATTAACCACTAATGAATGTTAAGAACACTGATCTCTATCCTCCACATTTTGAAATTTAATAAAAAAAAAACAGTTACCTGAGACAAGAACTTGGCATAGTTACCAAGTATGAGAGGATGATGGGGATGATCTTGGATTAATTTTTGGTAGTACTCATCTGTAATATCAAACCCATTCTCACCACCGCCATCTCCAGCGCAACCACCGCCAATCACGCGGCGCATTATCCCCAAAGTCAAATCAGAGCCGCTTTCTTGATTTTCCGGCCCGGATTGAGAATGCCCATTGTGGAAAGATTTGATCTTGGGCGTGGGTGGGTCCCTTTTGATAGGATGGAGGTCGGATGCGGCGGTTCTCTTGATTGGATTACGGCGGCGCGCGGAGATGGGAAGCGGAGAGGCTCTGGTTTTGAGGAAGAGTAGTGGGGGGTCTGGTGAAGAGGAGGAAGAAGAAGGATCTTTTGCCCATACTGATTTTAAGACTGGGGAAGATAAATTTCTTACCAGCATTTTTATCTTCTTCTTCTTCACTCAGACTCGCCGGAGGCCTCCTCTCATTCCCAAGAACAAAGGATTCGTTTTCCACAAACGGTTGCCTTTTGTCGTTTGAGTCTTTCTCTGGGAATGGGTACATATTTAATTGTACCAAAAAGGAAAAATCCTTAGCCACAAGGCCCACAACCCCACATCCAAATATCCAAGTAAGCCTAGGGACTAGGGAGGTTATTAAGGATATTGTTAGTTGGATTAATTTCAATTATTAAATATTAGATTATAATCTTGTTTGTAATTAGTTACGTTGTTAGCGGTTTGGTAACAACTGATCGAATTAGTTGTTTTAAATGATTGGTTATGTTAGGTATTTGTAAATAGTTGTTTGGTAATTTAGCTTGATGGAGATAGTTGTTATGATGTAAAAAGAGACATTACCTAATGCACACGTGCTTATTATTTTTAGTAATAATAGTAATTATAATAATAATTTGATTGTGATTAATAGTATAATATAAAAAGCATGCGTATTTGTAATTTTAATAACTAAGCAATCAATTTGAATGATGAAATTATCTTGGGAAAATTTAACTTTGCACCCCATGTTTTGGGTGATATTGAACTTTGCATCTCATTTTAAAAAAACTTTGACTTTGCATCTCATTAAGAATTTTTTCTTCACTAAAAAATGAAGTGCAAAGTCAAAGTTTTCTCAAAATGAAGTGCAAAGTTCAATATCACTCAAAAAGTGGAGTGCAAAGTCAAATTCTCTCAGTTATCTAACTTAAAAAGGCATAAATTATTTTGGATGTTTAATGATACACCGTAAAAAAACTTGAGACATTAATATGTGCTTAAACAACATTTTGTTGTTAAGAATAATAATTTTGTAATTTATCCTAATTACTTATTAAATATTAAATATTTAAACATTTGAATAATATATATATATATATATATATAGAGAGAGAGAGAGAGAGAGCTATTCCGGTCAGGAAATTCCTGACCGGAGCCCCGTCCGGCCTCCTCCATTTGGGAGCCTTTCCGGTGGTATTTTTTGCTCAAATTTTTTGTGTATGTTCTTCATCAAGTCTAGTTCATCCATACCAAATTTTAGCAAAAAATTCAATCGGGAAGGTCGTCAAATGATTTTTGCAAGTTAACTGGTCCGGAATATGTATTTTCCGGACCAGTTAACTTGCAAAAATCATTTGACGACCTTCCCGGTTGAGTTTTTGGCTGAATTTTTTTGTGGATAGAACATAGACAAATCTGTAAAGTAATATCAACCCTCTCCTCCTCTGCTGCAAAACCTAACACTCTTGAACTGAAGAAGTTAGAACTCGGCAACTCCCCTAAACTTTATCTAGTCATCAAAGGTTCCTACGTGGAGGGACAGCATCTCCTCTTTGTTATGACAATCTAACAATTTTTAAGTGTAAAGGAAGTAGGGACGATATTAGAAATTTTTGAGGTTTTCTGCATAAAATAGCCTATCCACGCAACACACGAGGCTAGAAAGAAAGAAGAGCGACATGGTGCATATTACGGATGTAATCTAAGTGAACCTTAAGCAAACTGAACGCCAGCATATAGAATGGAATTTGCTTAGATTCGAAGGAGGATATTTATCAGGGATAGTAAATTTAAGTAAAATATGATCAAAATTAGTGAAAAGTGAATAAATTAGAGATGATGAAACTCACCTGAAGCAAAGTGATTAAGTCATAATGTGGTTGTGCATTCTTGTGAACGGAGATAGCAGGGATAAAGGAGACGGGAAACCTTGGATTGAATATTCGTTCGTTCCTTCAACCCCTGGCCTTTTGCTTTCGCCCCAAATAAAAAAATCAGCCGTGGGATGGAGCTCCTTTCGTCTCTAGCAGTCCACCCCTGCCTTCTGACGTAAAAGCAAAAACCAGATGCGGGATGGAACTCTGTTTGTTAAAAGAAATTGGCTGGAGATGGGTAACGGCTTGGTTTGCAATTATCGTGTTTTTAATAAAATATATGAGCTGGTTTCAATAGCCAATAAGGTGATGCCAACTGTAGAATGCAGCGGAGCATCCCATAATGCAGATGCACCATAAAATTTTCCAACTATTTTTAATCTCTTACTTTATAGTAGCATATCAAATTTTTATTAAATTTGATTATGGTATTTGAGACTTTGTTAAGCTTTTAATGTATTTTCTGAATATGTAATTTTTTTCTAAAAATAATTTGAGTGCGGACATGGATCTGTTTGCTTTATCGTCGATAAAACATCGTAAACCGAATTGTCTCATTCTTAGTAGGACAGAGGCAATATTTAATAAAGAGTAATATTAAATGAATCAGCCAACGAAAAACGCTTTGTGACGGAGTATATATTATCAATCCATCTTTTGACAACACACCAACTTATTCCGTTAGTCAAACTCGCTGACTGAATCCGCTATTGACAATCCCCTAACATAATCTGATATCCGTTAGCTGATAATTACTCCATGTCAAACACGTCCAATCCTCTCCTTAATAGCACTACAACACCAAAACATAAAATCCCGCCTAAACCATTCTCACTTGACATCTGTTCGATTCGTACTTATACAAATCAACGGCTCATGAGTATTCTTCTCTTCTGATGTGATCCCTGGAACCCTTGGTACGCACACCGATCGACCGCTTTTCGCTTCCAATTCAACTGATTTTCGTTTTCTTCCTTCCAAATCAACGATGTCGAGGTATCCATGCCTTGGATAGGTGTCTCTCACGAACCAGGTAAATACTGAATATATTTTATTTTTTCAATTTTAAACATTTTCGCATTTGTCAATTACCCCTTTGCTTCTGTTCTTTTCCGTCACTTAGCAGTGTTCATCGTAACTTTTGGTATTAGTGAAAAAGATCGAAGCCAAATTGCATTTGATGAAATTGTGTTTAACCCTCTTTCTGAATCACTACATAGATTTTGTTCAAACACTCACATCAACGACTTCAATCTAATTCCACCTTATAATTCTTTCAATTTCCTTCAAATCTATTGTTTAATCACCTCTAATTTCATAATTTATAATTCTTTTTCCTGAGAATCAACACTGCCAAACTATATCTCAGTTCTTCTGTATCCACAAGCCATGTGTATGAAATGACATATTGCATTTGTGCAAATTTTGTTTTGCAAACTTGAAATTTGAGAATGAATGGTTGTAAATGTTTTGATAGCAACATGTTTGTTATAATTCCTCAATGAAATATGTCTTCCTATGATGCCTAATTTTCTATGATTTTAGAAGTAATGCATATTGATTGATTGTTGTCTGCATAAATTAATAAGATGATGCACAAGGGAGAAGATACATCTTATTTTGCTTACTCATTTGTTAAGGAAATGATATAAATATGTACACACACATTATCCTAAACACATCTAATTTGTTGTTATAGTTAGAATAAGCATATCAACTTCTCGATTAAAAAGTCATTATTATTGAAGTGTAAATCTGCATCTATGTATCAATTAGATCCAAATGTGTTGAAATAGGCTAAAAAATGGTAACGGAGCCTCTTGCTTTGTGTAAACCGATTCAACTATGACAACCTAGAGAAGAGCTCACAAATGGCTATTGTTGAGGTGCAAAAGTAACATTGTCCTTATTCTTTTTTACTTTTTTGTTTTGTTTTATATTTTGTTTGTCATTGTTTATTCCTCTAAATTTATTCCAGGAAAGTGTTACTGTTAGAGGACTACATAGATTTGAGTTTAATACTACGTATGTTTTTCATAAAGAAGGTAATTCCTGAATCAAAATTAATATTCCTGGATTGTCTCTTAATTAGAAGTATATTTGGTTTTAATGTTTGAAAAAAACATTTTTATGGATTGTGTACGTGTACGGTGATCTACTTAAACGACTCAAAGAAAAAGTTCAATTAGAAAATCATCTTATACCATATCATCCCAAAATTCGTATAAATGACTTTCATAGAGATTTTCACTTTATATTCAGCATCATGATCATTCCCAGTGCCGCAAATGCTCCCTCCTATGGTGGGGTAAGGGGGCTTGAATTCACTTTATGTTAGGGATCAAAATTTAATATAAATTCTCATTTTGTTTCTGCTAATAAATTGTTAGTATAAAGTCTCATTTTGTTTCAGTAAACTGATATAGTAAGTGATACATAAAATTTGCTTCTGCTAATAAATTGTTAGTATAAGGTTAATTTTTAGACCACGATCATATCATTTATTTATATTTTTTTCTCAAAAACTATACAAATATGAAAACATTATGATTATTATCAAATACAATCTCAAATACTATGTTTCTCTATTTTTTATTCCGATCGGCTTCTGTATTGCTTTATTTCTTTTTTGCTGCTTTATGCTTGAAATCATTTTCTGCTTCATTCTCTCTGGCTATTAAGTTATTTTATTGGGGTAACTTGAGTTTGCACCCTATATTATTGTTTAAATTGAACTTTGCACCCCGTTTTAAAAAATCTTTGTTTTTGCACCCCAACCCCATATGAAAAGACAAAAATGCCCTCAATCAAGAATATGTTGAAATCATTTTCTGCTTCATTCTCTCTGGATATTAAGTTATATATTATTGGGGTAATTTGAGTTTGCACCTCATATTATTGTCTAAATTGGATTTTGCACCCCGTTTTAAAAAATCTTTGTTTTTACACCCTAACCCCATATGAAAAGACAAAAATGCCCCTACATTAACAATTATGTTGATCATCAACATATTCTTGATTGAGGGCATTTTTGGACAGTAATATGGGGTGCAAACTCCGTATTACCCCTATTTTATTTGAAGTCAAATAAATATGATTACTTATTCACGCTTGATTGATGGAGAATTACATATAGAGTCAGTACATATCATATTTCCTGTACTTGACCATTTGTATCACCTATTTAAATCCTACCTAATTGTTTCTTTGGTTGATTAATATTTTAGCATATTTCTTAAATAGATTTGAACCACCTCAATGGCTTCAATTTTCAATTTCAAGTTCAGTTGACAAGAGTTAAGCAAAAAGAAAAGAACAAGTGATGCCTGAATCTGGAAGGTGTTTCCATTTTATGATTGCAGCTTCTTATTTGTCCTTTTAATTTAACTTTCA